TCATTATATCGCTTGACCAGTCAGCGCACAAAAACAAATGAATAATTTGTTTTTTCAACAATGAGATTTCTTCGAGATGTGGATCAACATTACAAAGCGCCTCGTCCAGCCCAAGATAAAACGGAAATATTAGGTTTGGGAAGAAACTCCACTTTAATCAAAAGAAGAGGTGGGCTTCATTTTCACGGAGACGTTGATTTTCAAATTTTTTCCTGCTCCAAAGGGAACAAAGTAGGTGGTAGTTGGAGGCTGCTAAGTTCGCTGATCAAGATGGGTACGGTCGCACTCCCTGATCAAGACCAGTAACTTCTGGCGTAACCTCGTCGGCACATGCGGTCCTTGCATTGCCGTGTAGTGGAGAGATTGGATTTTCCTGAGTGAGTTTATGAGTGACGTCATTAATATTTCAAAGTTGATTAGTGTAGGCCGTCACTACTGTGCCAGTATCCAGCGACATCGCTTCAAAGTCCCACCAATAACACAGTGAAATCTTTATTCCATGCACATCTGCTTTTGGCTAAGCAGGCTACTTTTCTCTTTGAGAGATCCTGTGAAGGATATGTGCATGGTTTGCGCAAAGACCCAGCTCTGGTTACCATCCACAATATCTCACAAAGGATCCTTCCAATGTGTCCAAAGACCATCCACAATATCTTACAAAGAATTCCTTCCAATGTGTTCAAAGGGTAGAAAACTCAGTTACGACCATTCGGAGCGCTTTGTCGGACTGGCGCAACTCGTAGCGTCATTCACAGGAAATTTTCCTTTTCACCGATGTTGCGGAGGAGATGGCAGTTGTCTATGAATCTACCCAGAGATGTTGCCAACTCAGTGGTGGTTACGTTCAGCTGCGCCTCCGCGAGTTGAATAAACGGCCGCCATTCTGTGCTGGTGGCCGATCTACAGGGGGGGGGGGCAAAAAAAGTCACTTTCTTTCATTGACTTTCGAGGCGCTATAAGTTACACTTTATAATTCTGATCGGACATTTTTACCACCATATTAAAGAGCATATCAAATACTATCATGACACTCCGCCACAGCCTTCTGGACGAGCGCCATCGAGAGATTCTGGCACGCGATCCGGATTCGTACCTGTTTTCAAGCGGGTGTTGATTTCCTCTATTGTAGCCAACACCTTTGAGCTCCCGCCGATGCTCGGTAAGTTGTAAGGGATTCAGGTCAGGTGACCTACTTGGATATTCCATTTCTTTAGGTACTCAGCCCCCTTCCATTCCAAGTAGGCGAGTGTTTCTCCAACGCCCTTCGATTTCATGTGGTGGCACTCAATGCTGTAGCAGTACAAAGTTTCCAAGAAGGTACGGGCGACCACATGTGAGGAGGATATTCTTCACGAGTTGCCCAATGTAACCGCCAGCGCTCACCTTCAGTCCGGGTCCACGAAGAAAAAGTATTCCATTCCAGCTAGCGTCTGGTCCATACCATCAACGCCGTGCTTGGCGACCAGTGGCAAGATGATTCCTAGACTGTGGCGACGTTGTCGACTGCTCGATGCTGAGGTTCCAGATCGAGAGTAGGCTGGTCTCTCAGGTAGCTATGCCATGGGTTGACTCCATGCTAGAAGTTTCGCACTGTTTGGAGGTGACATGAATTCCAAAGGTCTTCTCCAGTCAGGCTGCGACTGGAGATGACTTCATATTTTGGTGTACATGAAGGTGATGGGCTTCTCTCTTGCTTCTGCTTCTAGAGGAAAATCTGTGTATCTTCAGCCGCTGGTGCTCGAAATGCCACGTCTCTGTCTGGGCAGTGGGGCGAAAACTTGCTGATAATGTGACTCGGTCGAGTGACTTTTTTTGCCCCCCCCCTGTATAGCTCGCCTACGTCTTTGGAATATAGCTTAGCTCGCAAGCGCCTGAATATAAAGGGACCGTGTGCTATGGCAAGCGATACCCTCCCGAAACACGCCGTGTACTTAAGATTCACTCGACTACGGGAAGTGGACTACAGTCGGCTCGTTATATAATGGGGTAGTTCGAAAAGTATCTTGACGCCTTGGTGACTTTTGAAATTTGAAAAGGCTTCGCATCGAAGCTATAATAACCCGCTACAAAAGCTCAGAGAAGCATTATAGCCTACCACGAAATATAGCCAGATAAGATATATTTTGAAAAACTTTTGAGACTTTTGCTGTCTTTTGAGTTTTTTTGGAATAAACTTTTGGAGTTTCACATTGTTAATACACATTCAGATAATATAGTGAATCAAAATGCTTCCTGCGAAAGACTGGTTTTCTACTATTTATTGATGCTTTTAAAAGTTATCAAAGGACAAAATAATAGCTACCATTAAGAATGCGGAGTATTTTGTTGCCCAATATATTCTGTAGTTCAAAACAGCTGTTACACTGCTTCCTTGGAAGTGCTGTAGGCTATGAAGAATTATATGTTTCTTATCTCCTGCTATACTTATCTTATAACCTTATGAAGCTTCTCCGGCCGCCCAAACCACCAGGAGGTTCCCGTGGTCTGTATGCGGTCCCGTTACCCTACTGCTCAAGCGCTGAGTGTTTAGAGGCGGTCAGTGCTCCCTATAGGTCACGTAGCCATAGCCGTGAGCTCTGCACTATGGAACCGAATATACCAAAACTAATTACATTTATCCTGTCATTTCCAATTAAGAAGATTTCAGATTAGCAATTTATCTGCTCATAGGGATGCCTATGGATACATTTAGACGTGCGTTCAAGAGGATTGAAGCCTTTTCAAAACGTGACTTATGGATGGGCTAGCTGACAAGAAGGAAAGTCGTCAAAGAACATCATTAGGGTAAGTATGTATAAATTCGCCTTTCGTATTGATATGAAAATAAGAAGTCGGTGGCGGGGCTCTTCTTCCAAGAAAACTGCCCCACATCCTTCCCCTTTGAAGCACTACCGGGCTTTCTCACGACATCAATGTCTCTATCGCAGGCCTCCTCGCTCCAATCGCGAAGGCTATTTGGGCTAAATGGCGCTGCATTAGGCTTTAGATTTGGGTGCCATAGGGTAATTCGTGCGAATCCGAAGCTGAGGGTGATCACACCCATATACAGTTCATATCGTCTCAATCAGTGGGCGGTATCATGAGGCATGGAATGAGCTCGCTCACCAGCGGCGTTTTCTATCACTGCCTGTTCTCTTCCTCAAACAATTTATAGCACTACTGCTAGAAAACGCGGCCGTGGTGGGCTCATTCCACGGCCCCACTAATTGCGACCTTATCAACCATAACTATGATTTTTGCTGCCGTCGCAGCAAGCACGGCAGAAGAACCGTTGCAAGTGGGGTCATTTGCACTAGGACTGAATCGGTTGGACCAACCCGATCTAGCCAGCAAGGTGGGTGGTGTCGAGTCAACTAGCAAGGAAATGCTCTGCTTGCCTGCCAATGTCGAGGAGTCCATTATTTGGAGAAGGCGCTATCGAAGAACATCGTGAAATCTATTTTTTTAAATTTTCGCGACTTTTTTCTGAACATGCTTTCTACAAGAATCCCCAGGGCAGAATATACTCATCATTTGCCACTTAACGCTGCATGAACTTAGTCTGAACTTTCTTTAGCCGTAAATTTTTTCTATTTCGGTCTCTTCGCTATCGCCTCTTGGGAGCCATTAATGTGCCACAATAATATAGACATAAGTGCACATCTACGATCATTTTTCCCATGGGGATTCGAAATGTTGGGTAGTTCGCAGACATAACTCATGAGGCAACCCAAAGGTCACTTCTCGGGCAACCTCGCTGACATTAGAAGATTAATGAAAATGAAATCGCCAGTAGGTCAAGTCGTTCCCTACGAGCACCTTCGCAAACCGGGTAGCTTTTGAGACTGCCCAGTTCCCGGCTTCGTAAATTAAACCTGATTTCAATTTGAGGTATACGGTGTTTCCGATACTTGACGCTTCCTGAACACCCAACCACACCTATATCGTGCGAAATAATTTCATCTTAGGTGTCATGGCAGCGGGGAGGGATGTGGGCCAAGTCTATCCAGTTGTCAAACTGCCCCACTATCTTACTCCCGGCACACTAGAATGAAACCTGATTTACTGGCTGATCTAGCGATCTTCTGATGTTTTCTGATCCCTCTAACAACTATATTGTGCATTATGAGTTCATCTTAGGATCGTGGCACTACGGTAATGTGCAGGTACGTGGGCCAGGTCTACCCAGTTGTGGCGGAACGGAAAAGGTGTTGCAAACGACCTCACTTGCGAGTCTTTGCGCCAGGCCTAGTGCTACAATGGGCTGGTAGGTACTCTGCGTTTTCATGGCGTCCCCAAGACTGCCTAGCCAACATACCTTGTGTCCTCGGGCAATTTCGGATATGGCGATTGATCGGCCTGGGTCTTGCCCAAAGGTGAACGGTCTTTGGTTTCGCGTCATCGTTACTGATTTGGAATCGAAGTTGGCCCGAGTGAATATTCACCACCAAAAACCTGAAACAAGAACTTTTCTGGGTAGGGTTGTGACGTTTTAGCGATGGTTGCATCAATAGCTCAGTTTTAGTATAATGAAGTTCGGCAATACTCTCACCGTCTGAAACCCGAGAACGGTTCGCTCCGTTTCAACAGCTTTCCGTTTCGATACACCGACATTCGCACGTATCCTTCACAAGCATGGACGATGAGTAGCACCTGAAAACAGTTACAAATTAATTTAGAAGGCTCTTTGACTTCTAAATTAATGGATTAGCAACGAAGGGGTCCTCTTGCACTTTCTCTCACTAATCACGCTAATCAACGAGATTCACTTTAGTGAGATCTGAAAATTCATGTGAAATCTGCCAGTGTTACATATGAGACTGCACAAATTTCATTGAATACCATTCGATGCCCCCTCCAAGCCGAACTGCGCGTGTTTTTTTTAGAGTCGTCACATTGGCGCGAATTTATATCGGTTGAATTGACGTGATAATAGCTATCATATACAATCGTCATCCGGGCAGTTGATTAGGCGGTCAAAGGGTCGCAGACGCGACTGTTTCCAGCCTGTTTGGCCATTTACGTCCCTGATGTTCACTGGAATTGCTTTTCGTCTTTACTGAAAATGAATGGCTTAATAGGGGAAGTTGATTCATTTTGCTTTGTACCCATATGAAGTGTTCTGCGATTTTTTAGCTTATCTTTTTTAATTGTTTGTTCAAGTGGGGGAATTTTCACTGTATTGTTCACAAACAGTAGTAAAACCTCGGTCATAATTTGACCTTATGGCAAGGAACAACTAACCTAAAGAAAAGCAGCCAAAAACAGCGAAAATTAGGGAGAAAATGGCTAAATAGGAAATAGGCTGGAAACAGCTGATCGCCGCGGTCGTGACGCGCCGCAGCCGCGTCTGCGACCCTTTGGCCGCCTAATCAAGTGCCCGGATGACGACTGTACATGTTCAATGGAACGTTTTTTGAACGGTGGTCTCAGAGCCGCTTTCTATAGGTCCGCAGGAAGCCTAGGACAGAAATCATGCATCATCATGCATGGCTCTACTGACAAAGTTATTAGGCTGGTTTTAAAAGTACGGCGTACGGAAACGTCTAGATAGATTTAAGTGAGCTGTTGATTTGAGCTGGCAACTGGTTCGGTTCTGGAACTTTTTCCTAATCAGACCCAAAACTCCAGCTGTGGATTTTGGGCTGGTCAAACGATTAAGCAGTTGGTTATGTACCGATCAGGGCTCTTAATTTCACTTCTAGCAATTTTGAAACGAAACTGTTCGTGGCTAATGATTTACGTTTTCTACTCTCACTGGAATGGATAGATCAAAAATGCAGTGATAGCAGATTTATCAGCATTTGTTGCCGGCTCGCGACAGCGTCAACCGGTAGAAAAGGCTGAGAAGGTCGCCCTTCAATCCACACCTTTTCACACGTCTTTTCATTTGCAGGGATAATGACTGTATAACTATACTCATGATCCCTACAAGCGATAGAGCCTGTGAGGGGGCATGGCTTGGAGTGCAGCCAAATCAGATTTCCCATCAGCTGTATCGGGCTGAGGATGACATCTTTCCATGTAGATGGATGATAAATGCAAGCGGTAGGCGGCGCGGATCATCCACTGCAATCCGCGCCGCTCTACCGCTTCCATGGATCATGACTGTATATGCCCATATATGAGTATAGATATCCCAAGCCTTTGCTGTCTGCATCTCAACCGTCAACCGCTGAGACCACGAATCCTTACGGCTGTTGTAGCGCAAAACTCACGGCGTGGCTGAGCGCCTTGCATACCAGATTCATAGTCGAGACCTCCTCCAGATGAAGCTTTTCGCCGGATTGGTTGTCTGGTACAGAATTCTTTCGGAGCATGAAAGTGCTGAGAATCCGCTCACGCTCGCAGGTCATGTTAATGCCGAACCCACACCTGGGGTTATAAACGTGTGCGGCTAACCCTTGAGGTTCTCCGAGGTTCCCAGGATGCTGCGTACGTTGGCCTTCTTTCCCCAATCATGAAATGCAGTGCCATTCTGCTGACTCCGCTTCGAGCTTCATGAATTAACCCAGGAATGTGGCTCCGCAAAAACGGAACTCTGCAAAAGCATTACCCCGTTTTTTGCTAGCAGGAACTGGGAATATTTTCGTA